ACCGCCTTTTCTCAAAGGTATTTATGGGTCTACGAAATTTAGCCCAATCAGGTGTTACAAAAAGTCATGCCCCCCTAAGGATCATGCCCGCGTATCAATTCGTCATGCCCCCCTATCAATTGCCTATAATTAATAAGTACTTAATTAGCTATTTCTATTATATTATATAATAATAAGGGGAATACCTATAAATCTAGGTTAAGAATAAATTAAATAATAATCTATTCCTATAGGTTGGATAATTTATATAATTTTATATTTTAATTGGCTTATGCTTATATACTATAGTATCTATAGAAGAGGATAGAATAATTAACATTATAGAGCTTTACAGCACGTCAGAGACTTAATTTTAGGTTATTTTGGAAGGCCTAAAACTAAGTAAAGTAAAGTATTATATTACTACATAGTAATTATTTAGCTGGCTATTATTATTTAATTATCCCTTCCCTAACATAATAGGCAATTGCAATCCGTAACAGGAAAACTCCTCCCTATTCCTTTACATCTTTTCCATGGACTAGCTATAGCCTTATAGCTCCTTCCAATCAATTTGCATCAGTCCCTTAATGTATGAATAATATCATGCCTGGCCGCTGGTGGAGGTTCCAGGTTCCACCATCACACAGTGCCATTTATAGAAGACATTCTCTGGGTCGTACCTGCGCTTAAGCTCGCGCAGCCGTTTGACATGGTCACCGAAAGCATCTTCGGGTGCCAAAGACTCATGCTCCAGGTTAACATAAAATGGGGCAGGATCGCCCGGGGCCTGTTTGCCGTGGTAGCCGCAAGTGGTGGTAATATAATTAAATAACTCGCGCTTAAAGGCACGAACTTTAGCATCATGAGATGCGTTGTCGTACATGAGCGCCATCACGGCTATGTAGTGCTTGCCGCGGTTAGCGAATGCGGTTGCGTCATGCGGAGTGGCCTGAATGGCCGTCGTGGGGAAGAACTCGAAGGCCAGGACTGATTTTGTCATATCGCTGTGAGAGGTGGTGAAGTCCAGGAACCGTCGCCCGGCCTCTCCAATACTATTGGCATCGAGTGGCATCAATACGGTACAGCTGCCCATCAGCTTGCGTCCCGGTCCTTCGAACCTTGGGTTGAAGAGTGTATTCGCCGTTGGATAGGGCATCATCCCGGTTAAATTGGCAATAGGACCGAGCGCCAGCAAGGGTGCGAAGAATTTCTCTGCCTCTGCCGCAGGACCGTTGTAAAAGACGCCTGTCATGGCCGCCGGGGTTGTGTATTCCGGTGGCGCACATCCGAAGGCCATCATGTAGTTGTGGTCAATCGCGCAGCGGTTGTGAAACTCGTTTGCAAAAGCTACTAGCTCTGGCACCTTGTCCAACGTGAACAACAGGGCACCCCCCCAAACATCGCCTTGCGGGTGTGCCCGCGATGTGAATCGTGTAACAATGCCAAACTGGGCTCCTGCGCCTCGCACCGCCCAAAACAGATCAGGCTTCTCGGTCTCAGACACCTCGGCAATGGACCCGTCCGCTAGAACCATCTCGACTGAGACAAGATTATCAATAGCCAGACCGTGACGCGCAGTCAAGAAACCATGTCCACCTCCAAGAACCAGTCCGCCCACGCCTGTTTGGTTGTAGATTCCGCCGACAGTGGCCAACCCGTGGGCAGCTAGCGCCGAGTCGACGTCCCCAAATAGGCACCCACCCTCGTACGTTACTGTTCGACCAGCCGGGTCCACGCTGACATTCCGCATCCGCGTCAGGTCTATTACCATCCCGCCATCGGAGGATGAAGCCCCGCTTGTCGAATGTCCGCCGCCGCGAGCCGTCAATGGGACGTTGTGGGCTGTCGCAAACCGGATCGCAGTGGACACCTCTTCGGGGCTCGTCGCCCTTATTACTACTGCCTGAAGATGCTTATCATCAGCACTCCTTCTGCGCCCTTTAACAACTGAGAAGCAACTTAAAAGGGATCACTCCTCAGGTCTGATGCGTACCGCCGGCTTCTCACAGCTGTCACTCCATCGCTTCAAACTTTCTTGGTAACCTGCATCGCCAGGCAAGAGCACATCACCAGCTGTGATGTCTTGTCGAAGCTGGTTAAAAATGCCGCTCATTTTGGTCAACGAAGTTTTCTGCTCTCACGTTTATCAACAATACCATCAGGATTTTGCGGAGGCGTGAGACGCGGCATGGATGAACGGGAGAGAGCGACCTCATTTAAGGAGCTGAAATTGGCATCTGCGGCCGTAGCGCTACAGTATCACATAGCCTTGACGCCGCAGACATGTGAAAATGTCAGCAAGATGGGGATCCCAATCGCATGTAATTAACTTCTGGCTATTGGCCTCGGGTTTCCTAGGTGGCTGAGTTACGTCTATAAAGTCATCTCATCATCATCTGATGATTAAAGTTTCTGCTTTTCTTAGCTTGGCGTACGGACAGGTCTACCAGCATCCCATTCAGTGGCAACCGCCCAGTGTAGGCAATACACGATAGGTATTGGAGGAAGTCTCTTTGCATTTTTCGTAATCCTTAAATACGGAGGAATTGTGGGGGGGTCCCATCTCTCAACGGCGATTGGCGCCCGCTCTTCAAATGGTACTGTCATGTTTTCACTCGATCACCCGACCTCATACAGACTCTGCGCTTGAGCCACGGATGGTGTCGGATGTGTGCTACGTGGTACATGGGTTATCGGTGGGGCGTGCTCCTTGCCCATTGCTTTTGAGGCTTCGCAAACACTGGGGATCGTCAAGTTGACAGCAGCTTATTCTGCCCCATAGCTTTAGAGATTCAATTGCAACGATAGCAGTAAGATATATTGTATGCCAATATTCAGATTTATTCAATCTGAAAGGCACCTCCCTGTGTACCCCATATGAGCTCCACCGCTTGCGTGGATCGTCTGACCAGTGATCCATTGCGCCTCAGGGCTTGCCAACATGGCAATAACTCCTGCAATGTCATTGGGAAGCCAGGTCTTCCCAAAGGACTAATCTCAGAGATCTCTCCATCAACTTCCTCGATACTCATCTTATCACCACCCTTGAGATACTTCGCCGCGGCCTCGGCGTACATATCTGTCTTGACTCCTCCGGGGGCGATGCAGTTAACAGTGATGCCTCTGCTGCCGAAGTCCCAAGCAAGACACTTGACCATACCGTGCACGGCAGCCTTAGAAGCCGAATACAAAGCATGTCTGGGAACACCCTGTCGAACAATATTAGCTTCGGAGAGTGGTGGAGACCAAAGTGAATGTTAAGAGGAGCGTACCCAGACAGCAGAGATAGAAGAGATGAGGATCAGTCGTCCTTCATCTTCTAGATTCTTGTACGCTTGCTGCGCCATAACGAACTGGGCCTTGACGTTGACCCCGAGAACCTTATCAATCTCCTCATCCGTGACTGACTCGAGGTCACCAAAATGTTCAATACCGGAGTTACTCATCACGATATCCAGTCTGCCAAATTCGTCTTTGACCTTCTGGAACATGGCGGCAATTTCCTTCGGCTTGGATACATCAGCTTCGATGGCGATAGCCTCGACAGCCCAAGCTGCGAATATTTTCGGCTACAGATTCCGCTGCAGATGCTGAGGAGACATAGTTGATGCCCAGCTTGGCGCCGTGTTTGGCTAGGCGAGTTGCGATGGCTGCTCAGATTCCACGACTAGAGCCGGTGACTACGCCTGAATTAGCATCATCTTCAACGGTGGAATACGATGTCAGTTAATCGTTCAATGCAAAGCTTTGCACGCACCCAGAGCGACCTTTCCCTCAAGAGTCTTTTCCATCTTGAAAGTTGCACGAATTAAGAACCACGGACGAAAATCAGTGTCCTGCAATTGTTGATTCTCAGTGAGCTGTGAACGTCAAGAGATTGACGACCGATGAAGGGGATTTATATGTTACGATGGGAAACGCTGGCTGTTTGCTACACATCATTTGGGGCGATAGGGCATCATGCTGGGGCGGGATACGCAATGGCCAAACATGCGTGCGTGCGAACTGGATCTTGGAAACGCGAGCTGTATGGCGGCCGGACGGCGACTTGAGAAAATGCCGAACCGTGACTGAGATGATGCCGATCTGTGCCTTTAGCAGCAAGGGCGGAACCGCGCGATTGAGGTAGCCCCGAAAAGGGACGACTAAGGTAATGCTGAACGGATTGTTGGTTTCCTCTCGTGAGAAGCGTCGGACTTTTGGCACGTGATTATAGTAATTGCCGTGGCCATGAAACCGAGAGCATCCGAGTCATGCGAAAATGCCGGCACTCACGGAAGACTAGACGAGACAAGACAAGCCTCGCTGCTCGACTCGGCAGTGGTAATAAGCGAGCAACCTAGGTAAACAACAATATGACCTGCACATGGGGTATACGTGGTGGTCGAGCAGTGTAGGTTTCGTGCTAGGGCAGCACCCCTCCAGAATCTTTTACACAATAGCCTCAATACACAAACCCAGCCACATGTACTAATATCAGCCTTGATAACGACCACTGTTCGGCTACCGCTAAAGTGGCTCCAATATAAGGCCCTATAAGAAGAAGACCTTATTTTTAATAGATCCTAGCTTCTCTATCGTAACTTCTACCTCATCACCGTGTTTAACATAGCCAGTTGGGTGCATAAACCACCCGACGCCAGAGGGTGTCCCTGTCATGCAAACCGTTCCAGCTCGAACCGTCCTGCCGCGGGTAAGGTGCGGAATGATTTGATGAATCTTCCAGATCATGTCGCTTGTCTTCTCATTCTGCCGTATTTCGCCATTTACTTTTGTTGTGAGCTGGAGCTGATGCGGGTCGCCGACAATTCGAGGGTGGACAATATACGGCCCAAATGGCGCAAAGGCGTCAAACGACTTTCCATAGCTCATCTGGAACCCGGAAATCTCTTGGGGTATGTAGTTTCGTGCCGAGAGGTCATTGCCGATTGTATAGCCAAGAACGCAGTCCATCGCGTCACTCTCGATTACATCCTTACAGTCCTTGCCAAAGATGAAGTAGAGTTCGCCTTCATAGTCCAGATGCGATTGTGCCTCTGCATGGACATGGATATCGTCAAATGGCGCAGCAATTAGATCGGCAGGTTTAGTGAAAACGACAGGCTGGCTCGGAATGTTGAACTTTCACCATGATCTGTGAGCTCGTATCAAACACATCAAGGGATACTTACATACGTTTGTCTCGCGAGCATGTCTCGCATAGTTCACACCAATGCATTGGAAAATTGGTGTTGTTTCTAACGGGCAGAGTACCTGAAAGTCGTCAATTTTAATCAGATGGACGGACTACCTCAGGGGGTGGATATACCTTGCTGATCGTTTCTCCCCGTCCGTAACGGTTAATCCATCAAAAGGATTACCTAGGACGACTTGCGCCTTTGAGCCAATTAGGTTGATGGCTGCCTTCGCTTCAATCAGATTGCCGTAATATTCCTTCCCCTCATTGTCGAGGAAACGAATGAGATAAGCGAAATCACCAGCCATTGCTTTGATTCGTGCGCCAACCTTGGAATAGTCCTGAGGAGCGACTAAGAACGTGACCAATCTACCCTTAAGTACTCTCGTCAACAGTAAGGGATTCCACATCATTGGCCCGCCATCCGGCGTAATCGACAACTTAACGCCGATGTGTGGGACACGGCTAATTCACAGCATCAGATACTTTCCCCGAAGGCCCGGGGATTGTGCCTCGGAAGTGTTCAACCTCGTGAACTTGGATCCTTTCCCCGGCCACGGCTCGGAGCCCCAAGCAAACATGCCCATAAATACGCTCGGGGACATTCAGCCTCGGCGCCCAACCCAGTCTTTGAATAAACCTCTAAACGCTAAACAACTTTTCAAACCACATCTTGTTCGCCATGGATAGTACCACGCAGCCAGAGATCCAGCTCGACAGGCTGCTATACACCCAGTACCAACATCACAATCTCGAGCAGGCAAATCGGTTCTTCATCGACTTTGGCTTCAAGCCCGTGAAACAGAGTGCCAATCTCATATTCTATCGTGGCTTCGGCAAGCACCCTTTCATCTATGTCGCCGAGAGGTCGCCAGACAATGTGAAGCGTTTTGTGGGTGGCGGCTGGCTTGTTTCGTCGAAAAAAGACCTAGAAGTCGCTTCGCAACTCCCTGGAGCTTCATATATTGAGGATTCAACAGCGCCTGGAGGAGGTCAATTCGTGGATGTCAAGGATCCCAATGGCATCAATGTGCGACTTCTCTTCGGTGTTACTCTCAGGGCAGAGGACGAACAAAAGGAGGAGGAACCAAAGCCAGTGGTAATGAATAATCGGAACGAGAAGCCAAGAAAGCGAGAGTTTCAACGGTTCGACAACGGCCCAAGCAGAGTTCACAAGCTGGGCCATTACGGTCTGGTTGTGGATAGATCCCAATTCGAAACCACTGTGGCCTGGTACCTTTCCACCTTCAACCTAACTGAGACAGATTCTCTTTTCGACAAGGCGTCCGGAAAGGACATGATGACTTTCATGCATATTGATAAGGGGAAGGAGTTCACCGACCACCACGTAAGTACCTGGACAGACAAAACACCCTCACCAAGTAGCTGCCACGCGAAGGAAGAGGCTGACAGAGTCTTTGAACAGAGTTTCTTCATTCAATCACCGCCAGAGCCAGTGAAAAACTGCCGGCCCCATCATTCCAGCTTTGAGGTCGACAATATGGACTCGCAGACTATGGGCCACTATCATCTTCAAGGTCAAGGATGGACAAACTGCTGGGGCATCGGCAGACATCTCTTAGGCAGCCAAATATTTGATTACTGGTCAGCCGGATGCAATGCGTTACATCTCTCTTCCGAATACTTGGCTGACGATATATTTTAGGTTCGACCCTTCTGGAAACATTGTCAAGCATTATTCTGATGGAGATATCGTCAACTGTGAAACGACGGTCCCCAAGGAACCAGCAGCACCAGACACCATGGCAGTATGGGGCCCAAATGTCACGCTTGCCTTCCTGACGACGCGCATGGAGGATATCAAGAAGGGTGTTGCGGCCTCCGCCGTTGAGCAGGATGCCGTTGCAAGCTGAGGAGGTGGAACATTTCACATGGGTTGTGGTCACGACTTGTGAGACTCAGGTTACGGTTTATGATGGACTAGTTCAACCACTGATTTAATCGTGATGCTCTTCTACATCATAATTTGTTATCGTCTATTCGAACTTGAGGAAATGCGAGGTCGTGATTGTGCCTACGGTCTTCCCTGAGTCTCGGTGCTTGACGTTGTCTTTAGGCTTCGATCCTGGATTGCCCAAGGATCTGACTTAGCTCATCTGAGCCAGTTCCAAGAACTGGATCGCCTTTGCGGCTGCTTTGCGGTCGTTCAGTTTGTCCGCCGATCTTTCCATCTTGGATAGGGTTCTGTTTCCTAGTTCCCGGTTCCTGAGTCGTTGGTATTTTCGGCATTGCAGGACGGTAGAACCTGGGATGCCGCCTATGCCTAGGTACGTACACACTTAGGGGATCGGCATTTTTCCACTGAATGTACATGTGACACGGTGCTAACGAGGACTCATAAAGCCGTCCCCACAAGATCGCCAAAACGCAGGGGCGGCCTAAGTACTGACAGGGGTAAAGATCGTTGTCTCGTAGCTGTGCTTTTACTGTAACTTCCATGTAGCCCACTAATGCGTAGCGTAGGAGCCTACAAAGTGTTGATATTCAAATGCTTTCTTGACCCACCAGTTCATGTGAATCACTGCTGTGAATATCAGGGTCTTGATAGAAGTGACGAGTTACGTCATTGCGCTCACGGTTCGCTCGCCGAACGGGTAATGGTCCATCTCTCCATCTGCAGCCATGAAAGATCTGAGATCCCGCGTCAAGAATGTCGCCCTCGCCGGAGTAAGACCCCGTAAACTCTTGTGACTATTCAATGTTTCATACAACGTCCTCTAATCGCTGCTCATTTCAATGCTGACGTGAATCACTTCGAGGACAGGACGTTCTGGTCTCAGCTTTAGGTAAAGCGGCGCTACATTGCCAGGGTCGGCTAGTTGAGGCCCCCGTGGCGGCCAATGTACGACGTATTATCCCGTCTGAGTTCGGAGCGAACCTGAGAAACCCAAAAACAAGAAAACTCCCGACATACGCTTTGAAAGTCGCCCTCGAAGACCAGTTAGCGCGAAGCTGCAGGCTGTCAAACTCCTCGTATACGCTGATATATACCAATTGTCTGCTAGACTGGGCGATCGCAACCCACGGTGCTTTACTGGTTGACCCGTCGAAACGAATTGTCAAGCTGTACGATGGCGGAAACAACAAATTTTCCACAACAAGCCTAGCAACAGTAGGCCACACCGTGGTCGCTGTCGTGGATCACTTTGAGGAGACTGCCAACCGAGTAATCTGCGTGCAGGATGCTGCCATATCTCAGGTTGAGCTTTTGAAATTGGTCAAGGAGGTGACAGCGGATGACGGCGGGAAAGAGTGGGGAGTCTTGCATATCGACACTGGAGATGCAGAAGCCCAGGCCTTGGCAGTTCAGAAACAGGGAGCCTTGACATCTGAGGTCTTTTATGGGTTTGCAGTTCGGGCGGCGTTCGCTCCGGGCTATGGTGGGCACTTTGCTCACTGCGATAATGAGCTCCTGGGGATTAAAGGTATGGGGCGAGATGAGATAAAGAGGCTCATTCGGCATGTCTTCTCGGAAGAAGACCAACAAGACCTGTGCCATTGAATAAGGATAAATGCCTTTACGGTCTCTAGAGAGTAACAAGTCTATAAGAAGAATTTGATCATTCACTACCACACAATGTGTATTCAAATACCAAACTGAATCCTCGGATTAAGCTCTCCGGGCTAGTTCGACACACTCTAAATTAAACCCCCCCACTGTCTGAATGGTTGAGTGTTGCTCCAGGTTTATCATAGCAACCATCCATCATCTTGGCCTGGTCTTGGAAGACTCGCCATTGCTCTGCTTGTAGCTCGACACCGTCTTTGACAGCCTCAGACATGGCGACCAAGCCTGCGAATTCGATGGTCACACGGGTCCCATTTCGCGGCACATTTTCGTTTAATCCAGTTGCTACAACCTCGACCTTGGCGGATTCAATACCATTCAACTCGAAATGTCGATCCACCTAGTGCTACTACTGAACTACGCACTCTCTGTGGAGATGGATAATCAAATCGTGGATCTTGTGAAGAGCCTCACGCCCCTCAGTAGAATTGGACCAAAAGTGAAGCACCCTACCCGGTTTGAAATAACATTACCCTTGTAGCATGATGTTGGTGACGATGATCCAATTAAAGTTAGAAACGCGATTTGGCCTGAACGATGAGGGATTCAAGTCCTCCAATAAGTTGAATTAGGGAGGGAGGATAAGAGTATAGCAAGATATGGCTTTTTCAATCTCTTGAATCTCCTTGCGTTGCAAGTTTTGCTGCTGGCCCAGGTCATGCGCGGTGAGCAAGAGATAATTGATGAGTAGGAACCATGCCCTCTCGTCCTGGTTTGGACAATCCCTTAGGGTGTGCCAAGAGTGGACAGGGTCGGGATTGATTATGGACGACTCCACGAACATGTCTGCAAACCAGTTCTTGTCAGAAACGGGAAGCTTGACTTGCATAGTCATCCTATCTATCGTGTGTGGACGGCAGGCGACCGCGGCTGAGAACGCGTCCAGCTCCCAGACAGACCACCAGACACGGCGTAACCCCTCTTTCTTGCTCCATTCCAATGAGACTGGGCTGAAAACATCGCTCTCACTTTGGAAGTCGATGGCATGTAGACCCAGCTCATTCGCGAGCCGGGTGCAAGTGCCGATGACCATCCATCCTTCGGTAGTGGGGCCGTGCAAGTAAAGCTGAAATGCTAACAGTGTGCAGCCCTGCAGAAACTTTAGGGTGTTCTTCTGAGCCGCTCGAAGGCAGCAGTAGTACATGTCCTTTGCAGATTCCGAGGATTAAGACTCACAGTTCCTCAACTAAAGCACCCGAAATGCCTGCCGCTGTACTAGGCCCTGGTGTGTGGAGTGTGTTGTTGGAACTGTCCACAGCTCCTTCCCCCGAGCTCTCTGGACTGACCTGGTCTGGCCCGGGGTTCCATGATGACATGCCCGGGCTATAAGCGTGCCAAAAATACTCAGAATTCCACGGGGTGGATAGGTTATCGAGAACAGCGTTTTGTTTAGGAGTTTCGAGCCGTCCTAGTTCAAAGTTCATGAGTGGGTCGATCGAATTGAGCTGATTCAAGTACTGGTCATCAAAAGAAGCGCTTTGCGTCAGGGCGTGGACGTTGCCGAGATCGCTCATCGCGGTACTCGAACTTTCTGGCAGGATGTTGTCCTCTGTGTTTGGATCGTCGGTAGTTGTCGATTCAAGTTCATGTCCATGGTGGCCCTGTTTTTGTGCAGAAACTATATCGGACGTCTGGTCTCTGGCCGCCATTAATATAAGATTGCCCATGCCAGCCTTCGTAATCTCGCAGACTTGTACCACATTGCTGGATGGCGCCATTGCACTGGTTCGCTCTGTGCTGGAGTTGTAACTTGAGCGTTCGCTTTTTCCTGTGAGAAGGGTACAGACAAGGGGTATTTGTTCGAGAGCACAGGTTGCAGGATGGAAGTGTCATATCGCCTTTAAGCAGGGCTCAGTCAGCCGTCAGTAAAAGACTTAGTGTTACCCATGCGCGCGCATGTCAGAGGGTTGTGGAATGATCTTGATTAAAATCTATGACAGGGAAAGGATGATAACACAACATACAGGGGAGGTGGTGTTCTACTGAACCACTATACGAACACTTTGTCTTCTTCCTATTCTCCACCGTAAGCTCGTGTAAAATGTATAAGGTAGGTGGCTAGGTTGGCTTACCTATTGCAGCCTATACAGGCTCTTTTGGATCGACAGGCATCGCCGGCCCCTGTCGTACTGCTCACCTGTACATCTTGATCATGGGGCCACATCATTCCACCTCTGCAATGCCTATACGGACTTAATGAAGCGAAATCGTATAAAGATTAAACAGGGTGCGAATCGGTTGCCTAGATCCAAATGAAACAGGAGTCACTCAGCAGAAGCGAAATGTTGAAAGTCTGCATTTCGTGCTTGAAGGTCGAAATCGCACCAAGGTATTCAGCGCTACCAACCCCGCTTTCTGGTTATTAATCCCGCAACATTGTTGGGTACAGAATTGTACTTGTGGGGGCGGCCTCTATCGCGGCACCGAGGAAGCGACTATCTCTTTGGGTGCCACAAGCCTCCAGCGGGGTCACGATAAGGGCGTAGAACTAATCCAAATGAGTAAAACCAGAGGTACTTACTTACACACCTAATTTAGGTGGTAATAGAAGTCCCAACAGTTGGGCTCTTATACCTGCATAGCCGGCTATGTAAATAACGCCATGTTTCCTTCTTTATTAAAATATATATAGCTGGCTAATTTTTAATTTATTTTTATTAAATATATATATTATTAATAAGTAATTCTTTAACTTTTTATATTATTATTTATTTAGGGTTATATATTTTTTATTTAAATAAGTAATATTAAGTCCTTAGTCTCTTTTTATATTATAAAATTAATAAACCCCTATTTATATTAATAATATACTAATGTTTAGCTAATCTATTAAGTCTATTATATACTATATCCTATGACTTATTTAACCCTCTTTATGCCGCTGATGCTGATAATCTTTGGCTTTAGGTAACTAATATTAGATTAAGAGAATAGCATAATTACTTATATCTAGGTAAAACCTCGGCAAGATATTAGAAGTTAAGTAATTTAGATATAGACTTCCCCTCTTCTAAAAGGAGAGAATATATAAGTATACTTTCTAATAATTAAGAGTCTTATTTATATAAAAATAAAAAGGAACTACTAGAAATATAACTAAGAAGGAAAGCCTAGCGCTTGCCGAAGATAATTAAAGTAATAATTAATTAGATAATTAGACTTAAATCTAGTAATAAGTAGATTAGCTGGTATAAGGCCCTAAAGGTTAAATTAAAGAATAAGGATCTATAGGCCTATATTAACCTAACGGCATCTAATAAGCCTACCCTTAAGGTAGTTACACCTATACCCCCTGATATATTGGCGGTAAGATAGTAAAGCGCTATAGCCGCCTATATGGCAACTACCGCAGAAGTATTATCTTCCTTAACACAAGAGATAACTATATAGGAAGTTAATCTGCATATTAATAAGCTAAATGAAATCTATATTAAATATAAAATATAGACTTAATAGATACCCTATCTCACAGAGAAAGATCACCGAATAGTTATTATAATAAGGGCAATATATAAAATATACCTAAAGAATTATAAGGACTTAAAGAGGAAGATATCTATTATCTAAGACTAGGTACTAAATATAATAGATAAAGGGATTATAAGGCACTATTTCTTAGAAGATAATACTTTAGTAGAATAGGTTTAGTCTCTTTATAATAAGTTCTCCTTAACTTAAATAGAGTAGAAGCAGGAAGCTTGCTAAGTATATAGAGAAGTCTTAGCAAAACCCTAGTATTAAAGATATATAACCTATAAAGGGGCAAGTAACTGGCTTAAGTAATAGAGGATCTTAATTAATAAAGCCTGAGATATAGGCCTATAAGAGGCTAAAGAGGCAGATTAGTAGTTTCCTAATCTTATTATAGCTCTAAGGTTAACCCCCCTAGAGTTATAGGTAAATACCTATAGTATTACCTAAATAAATAATATCTAATTAAATACCCTATTTATCGGAGTAGTAGCAGCAGATATTTAGCTAGCACTAGTATTATAGCCAGATATATAGAGAGCTAAAGTAAGCCATAGAGCTTTCCTAGTTAAAAGAGGGGAAGAGGCTAGTAAAGACTAAGAGACCTAAAGGAAGCCTAGATAGAAAGAGCAGAAGGGGCAAAAGTGCTCTTGCCAAGGCTCTGGTAAAGATAAGGCTAAAAGATATAAAGTATATAGACTAAGGCATACCCTATTAATATGCTTTTATGCTTTCCCTAAGAAGGCCTATATTAGGTTTAGACTAATATAGGCTCTTGCTAATTAGGCACAGAGATAGATAAAAGAAAATAAGAAAGGTATAGCTAATTAAATTAGGAAGCTAAAACTAAAAGGATTAGCCTAACTATATTTAGTTAGCTCTGCTTGGCCAAGTATAGGCCTAATGGTGGCTAACTGCTACCCCCTGAATAAAAGTATATTATTAGACTTAGGAGTAATAATATATATATTTAGGGATATAAAGCAGATAAAGAACCTTAGGGCAGTAGCCCTTAGGGACTTCTTCTAGTTAGGTATAATACAGGTCCTAATAGAGGGATATAGAGAAGTATAAATTAAACTTAAGTTAATTAACAGCTTGCCTAGAATACTATGACTTTATAATATAGCTTTATATACTATATTAGCTATAAACCTGGTATTATTTACTAAGTTAAGAAAATAAAGAATTTAATAGAATATAAGCCTAGGAAATAATTACCTATAGCGCTTAGATGGAAGTAAACTCGGCGAGGTCTTAGAGATTAGAGGTTAATAAGTACTTAAATATAAGTATCCTCCTTAATTCCTAGAACTAAGGCAAGCTAGGCTAGCAATAAATATGCCTCCTATCTCTCTAAGAAGATGCTTATATATAATGTAGATTAAAAGAAAGCTGTTAAGAGGAGATATCTTAATATGGCACCTAAGGTTAGGCCACCTAGGGCCAGAGGCTCTCTAATGCCTCGCCACGTCTGCAAGAGGAGTATAAATAAAGTCAGAAATCTTAATAGGAATATAGCAAATAACCACGGTTAACTGTAATGTATATGGAGTGGCGAAAGCTCGCCGATTAGTATGCTGCGCTCCTCGAGAGTCTGTATAAGCAGTAAGCCTAGGAGACCAAATAGCTATAGACTTTTATCTTATGCTACTAGGGTATATAGGCTATAGTTTAATATAAATATTTATAGATAGAGTATTAGGGTTTACCTAGGACTATTATATTACTAATTAGTTAACCCCTGCTATCCTCTTAGCGCTAAAAGGCTTTTTAAATATAATAGAAGTATAATACTTAAAGAAAGTAAAGGTAATTAAGTATAATAATGAGATTATAATAATCTATCTATAAGTATATGCCAAGATAGTTTAGCAAGGAATATAATATAAATTATCTGCTTTAAATATACAGGCTTAGAATAGTAATATAGAAAGAGTAGCTATAGTAATTATCTAGAAAAGCAGGGCAATAAGGGCAGGTGCAAAGATCCTAGAATACCTCTAGCCTAAATTAATAAAGGCAGCCACCTATCTCTATAACTATATGCTATTAGTTTAGAGATAGCATAAATTACTATATAAGATATTCTACTTAGAGTATATAGCTAAGCAGTTACTAAAGCCAGACCTATCACACCTTAGAGTATATAAATATAAAGTATTTACACTTATAAGAAATATATAACTATAATATAATAGGCTATATTATTAAGCTCCTAGAGGGTAGATTAGGTACCTAGTAGGGTATATATTAAGTAATTCCTATAGAATCTAGAACCTATTAAATAAGGAGGTATTTATAATATGAGATATTACCTTTAATAAAAACCAGCGCTTCGATGAAAACACGGCGACCCTTTGAGATAACCTATAGGCCAAAGACCTAGCTGCAATAAAGAAATAAATCAAAGAACTAATCTCACTTTAGCAAACTTAGCCTAATTAATAGCAAATATATCTAGTAAATAAAGAACTAGATAAAATTACTAATAAGTATATAGAATTTAAAAGCCCTAAAGCTAATAACTTAGCAAAGGCAGGTAAGAAATTAAAACCATATATGCAGTTCAGATTCAAGTTACTATTAACACCCCTGGAATTACCTCTATTAGGTTTCTTTTATGCAGTAAAAGAGGATTTAAAGGTAAAGAGGGGTAGTAAGATAGTAAGTAAAACCCTTACTAAGATATAAGTAAGAAATCATATTCTATTTAATGCAGTATTCCTGGCAGGGATGCTATAGTATAAAATATATATAGGCACCTAATAGAAGACCTAAGGTTAACAGAGTTAAGAGAGTCTAGCTAGCTCTAAGAACTTACTAAAGGGAGGGAGCTTACCTTAGCCTTTAAACAAATCTAATGCAGGAAAGCAAGAGGCCTAAAGGGATAGGATAAGCTTTATACTAGGCAAGGAAAAGGGGCCTTATATTAGTATATATTAGAAGCTCCTAGAGAGGCTTCCTAGCTTATATACTAATATAAAGAGTTATTTATACTAGGATATAATCTAGAAAGCAGAAAAGGCTTACTTAGAGAGCTATAAACTCTCTTAATTATAAATAAAAGTAGCTAAGACTATAGCAAAAGGTTATTAAATACTTAGATATTACTAGGTATATATTTATAAGTTAGATAAATATAGAAGATTCCTAAAAATTAAGGTAAGATTAGTAGTCTAGGGAGACTAATAGGCAAAGGATGGCTAAGATATATATGCAGTTACTTTAGCTAGGATATTATTTAGGGTACTAATAGTAATTATAACTAGATTTAACTATAAGATGCTTTAGTATAATATAATTAATATATTTATATAGTTAATACTAAATAAAGATATATATATAGAAATACTAATAGGTTACTAAAAGCCTAGTATAGTCCTTAAGCTATAAAAGGCATTATATAGACTTTAAAGGTCCCCTTTCTTATAGTACAAACACTTTAAGAAAGGCCTCTTATAAATAGGATTTCACCGAGTACTTAGCGAAGACTGCTATTAGGTCTAAGGCGATATAGTGTTCTTCTTTTATATAGATAATTGCATCCTCTGCTACCTAAAGGAATAAGAAGAAAGGGTAAAAGATCTAATAAGGAAGCTATAAGAGATATATTATATTAAAGGAGGTAAGACCTTATAATAGTTCTTAGGCATTAAGGTTATAAGGGATAGGCCGAACTATTATCTATAGCTCTCCTAGGCCATATATATTAATAAAATACAATAACTACTTCTAGAGCCCTTACTAAAATATAAAGTATTAGTCCTAATAGTATAAAAAGAGCTATTACTATATACCGAATTATTAAGCCTAAAAAGCATAAATAGTTATT